TTTTTTTCAGGGTCAAAATCTTCGTCCGGTTCATGATAATGAATTTCAGTATTTCCAATAGTGTTCAGTTCCAGCTCCAGTCCCTCAAAATCTATTAACTTCTGTAACAAATCACTTGCCTCATTCCGTACATGGGTCATGCTTATTGTTGTTGTTGAATCCAACGCTCATCTGCCGTGGCAGATATCAATACCTGCATGTTTCTTCTTCATACATCTGAGGGTCCAGCAACCCCTTCATCTCCTTGTCTTGGCATCCTGGGCGTGCTGGTCCTGGGTCCTGGATCCTGGTTCCGAGGTCTGGTCACTAGTTGATCATACCACAGGAACGCGATGTCTCCCCTCTCCCTGGCCTCCCTTAACTTCGGCATCAACCCCCTTCTTCTCTTCTTCACAGACTCGGTGTAATCTTCATTTATATAAATGTTAGATCCTTTAAGCCTCTTTGCTTGTTGCAATATGTGTGCCTTATCTTTCTCTTTCATCAATTAATTACTGCTGTACATGTGAAATCCAAAGTGTTTCAGAGAAACTTAACACTGGCACAAACACAGCATCAATGCATCATCATGATATGCTGTAGGACCAGAGAAAGAATCAATCAGCACCAACACAACTATTGAAAATGGGTGTTTAAAGAGGGAGGGGAAAGTAGACAAAAAGTGATCTCCATGAGCTCTTTTGTATCACTACAAAGAATGATTTCATTAGTCATCCACCAGTACCCGCTCTATGGCAGGATGTAGGAGGTCTGTGTGGGTGCTCTGAGTGTGTGGAGAGAGATAGAATATAGACGTGATAATTCTGAGGACAACATTAGGCTTGCAACCACTGTTGTGAGGACATTTTGGCATTCAGACAGCATTTTGTCTGTTTGTCACACCTATTTGAGTTTTCAGACTTGATTTTAGGGTTAAGCATTGAATTAGGTGTAGGTAAAAGGCTAGGAAATCTTTTATGTCAATGTGTTCTCTCACAAGTAGGAAGGCTAACGTGTGTCTGTATGGGACATTTATCTGTCTACATAGACAATTTGAGCACATTTGAATGATGACGACTTGGCATAGGGTTATGATTAGGTGTTAGGCAAGTAGTGGTTATGGCAAATGAAAGTGAAAACAATCACACGTGTGTTTCTGTGTATGGGAGAGAGAGAGAGAAAGCAAGAGAAGGTGAGTGTGTGTATGTGTAGAGGGAGAGAGTGATAGGGTTGGAGCGTGTAGAGGGGTTAAGAGGGTTGTAAGTATCTCTTGTCAAATCTGGAACACAGGAGCAACAAATGTTATTTTGGATCCAGCCCAGACATTATAATGAAGTGTGTGTGGAGACCACGGGCCAGATAGATAAAGGGCTGTGTAGATTCATGAATAAAACTGTGTGTACACACTAAGATATACAGGTGCAGCTCAATAAATTAGAATATCGTGGAAAAGTCCATTTATTTTGGTAATTCAACTCAACTCTCTCAATTCAACTCAGCTTTATTTATATAGCGCTTTACCACAGCACAGCTGACCAAAGCACTTAACATATCATGCAAATATAAAAACAACACATAAAAAACTATAAACAATAATATAGACACTAACACTACAGACAGAGTCTCATTCCTGGCCAAACGCCAATGAATACAAGTGGGTCTTCAAATAAGACTTAAAAGTAGACAGGAAGGGGGCCTGCCTAATATAAAGCGGCAAGGCATTCCACAGT